GCTTGGCCTTCGGTAGCGGTTCCGGGCGTTGACCACTGTTTGAGTGATGTCCCGATCCGGTAGAGGTAGACCTCGTTGCCGACGATCGGTGGCCAGTCGTTGAATGATCAGGAATTTTAGATGCCATGCGTTTAGACACGTCTAGTAGTAAACCGTCGAACGGCGTTAAAGACTGGCCACTATTGCCGTCGGAATCGCTATTAGTGTCCGAATGGTCGGAATCGTCGCCTCGTTTAACGCCAAACGCTTCTCGTAATCGCTTTTTGTGGCGCCGGTAGTGCTCTAGCGTTAAGTGTCGGTCCCTTTGCGGGCCGATCGTCGCCGGAACCGTCTCTTTGGCCACTTCTTCGCCACTATTTCTGTAATTAATAAAAACAAAACACACATAAAAACTAATTCATTAGTATATGTATTGATATACTTGTGGTCAGAGATTGCCGTAGAGTTACAAACTGTGCTGGAAATGGGCGAAAATGAATGATTATTGTCAACGCCTTCCTCCCGGACCTCCTCATCAGCGGCTGCTGTCAATTGTCCGCCAATTTTTCGGCCGTCGTATTCATCACATGATATATCACTTATTAATGCAATTAAAATATAGTTAAAAATCAATTTAATAGTCAATAGATTCACACCTTATAGTAGTTGTGTCGACAGTAAGTAATTGATCCATCGCTTCTTCCGGTGTCACTGCAAAGGCTGGTGCTGTCAATAGTGGACTCGTTTCGATGCTATTGACAACCATTTCACCCGAAGATATCGTTATATCACTATTTATATAACAAATTAAGGATTAAATACCGATTCAATAGTTAAACTCAAACACATGCCTAAGACTAGAGGTTTCCATCGGGTTATTGACATCAGTTGTCGAGACTGTAATCGATTGGTTACTACTGTCCACCACATCCTCCGGTGCCGTCAATTGTGCGCTAAACTCTTGACCACTGTTTACACCCATCTCTTCGCTAACAGTCACTTCTTCGGAAGTATTTGTGTCACAATTTCTATTTAAAATTTAAAAAATTAATTATTGTTTTAATTATCGAATAAAAACATTTATAATACTTATGATTAGTTGTGGCTATTGTCTGGCTATCGGTGTTTGAAATGACGGCACCGATAGGTGTTGTGCCAACACATGACTGTTCATCTCTATTAGCGTTTGCTGTGGTATTCACAAGAAGTGCCAGTATATCACTGACAACTTGTTCAACACTATCTGTGTCTTCGCTTTGAGTGCTCAAAGTGGTGGCCAATGACGGGTCAGACAGTGTCTGTAGACGCGGATCCGTTAGTAGCAGCGGCTTATCGTCGGCCAGTGTTTGGTCAGTGGCGGACACATCGGTGGTGTCTAACTTCAAAATCACCACAACTGGTTCACTTGTAATCGCTGGCTCACTATCACCCGGTGCTGACCAAACGGAATCAGTGGTCACATCGGGCGGCGATGTGTTGTCCGCAAAGGCGTTGACATCGAGTTTTATATCACATGTTATATCACTGTTTAAATCAATCAATGAATACAATTACACAAACAATACAATCGGATCGAGTCTTACGTATGATTTTCAGTGGCGATCACTGGCTTAACATCGCAGTCATCGGCGGTGGTGTTGGCCTCAACCACACGACACACCCGTTCGGCCAATGAGTCAAATCGTGTGTAATAATCACTATTGGGAAGCGCTTCAGTGGTCAACAAATAGTCGCTGTAATCATCGGTCGGGAGGTTGTCTTCGGGCGGGTATAACAACTCACTAAACGCAACAACAGATCCATAATCAGTGTCTTCAGTGATATAATAATCAGCGCAAGACATACCCATCGATGTCAGTATCCATATCGTAGGGAACGGGTGTTGTCGTAGAAATTGTTGGGTCCGACGCCACGGACAGCGGTATCTCCTCATTGGGTACAGTCTGTGGAATCGCCAGCACAAGTATGGCTGTGTCTACTGCTGTCGATGGTGGCGGCGGTGGTGGTAGTAGTGGCGGAGCCATCTGTGGTAATACCGGTAATGATTGTACCACTGGTGGCGGTGAGAGCTTTGATGGCCCGGCAGTGGCGGCGCCTGTGGTCTGAGCGGTGGGCGCGGAGACGATGGCCACGATCTCAATGTCGCTGTCGTCGTCCGACTCTCTGTTTGTGGTGTAAAACATATCTGGCGTTCAAAACAATAACCGCAACAAAACGGGCGCAAAAGTCACGTACGGGTTGTCCGCCATTGCGGCCATCGGTGATGTTGTCAGCGGAGGAACCGTTGGTTTAACACTTTGACTATCATCGCCTATAATCTCTACTTCGGAGTCACTATTGGTGTCCCTATAGGTGCGCCAAAGAAGAGAGACAAGTGTTTAACGCGTTTGTGGCCTAAAAAATCATTGCTTAATAACCACTCACTCATCGGTGGACAGAATCAGCAGCAGGTGATGATCATCGGTGTCCTGTTTGCGACGCTTTCTTCGTCCCGACGACCGCCGTCTACGCCGCCGGTGTTTGGCCTTCACTTTACGGTGTTTACCGGCGGACGACTGGTCACCGGTAGTTGAGGTCGAGGCCAACGCCTGTACGGCAGCGGTTCCGCGATGTCGGCCGCGTTTGCGAGTATTTGTTTCACTGGATTTACGCATAAATTGAATGGCAATTAATTATCAGTGGTTTTCATCCATCGCTTACATTGTGTTCATAAGGCATGCGTTGGGCGCTGAGTGACTGCCGGCGCCCACTTTGACCACAGGTTTAATGGCCGCCGAGGACTGACCGCTAGGATTGCGATCATCGATTGAGGTGACAATAGTTTGACTATTAATTCTGGTAAATATAATAATCATATAATTCAATGAATCAGTTGTACTAAACAATACATACGTATGACTGGTATTGATGGGTGAGTTGTCGCCGGCACAGGTGGCCACCAATGGCAAGCCGTACCGCTTCCGTAGCCTCGGGTCGCGTAATGTTTGCAACATATGCTGACCATTGAGTGATGTCTGACCACTGGTGGCCGACGAGTAAGTATTGGATGCCGTGGTTGTGGTGATGAAACTATTGAGACAAATGTGTTATCAATTAATACATAAATTAATGGCAATAAAAGGCAATCAATTGATTATTACTTGTCATCAGATCTGAAGGTAATCGGCGGTAGAACTGGTGACGCAATAGCGATTGGCCGGCGCTCTGAGACCAGTTGTTTGCTATCGTCCGCCGCCGCTATCCGCCGGCTATCAGATGAAGAGTTGCCGATCAGTTCCCCGGACTGTGCGGTGCCGTCGACGGCATGTCTTCGCCTGATATGTGAATCTAAATGCCTTTGAGTGCAGAAACATTTGTCGCATCCGTCGTAATGGCATTTGAATGACTTTTGGCGGACAAACGACTCGAGTATCGACTCGTAAGTCAATGATTGGCTGCAAAGACACAGACATTTGTCACTGAAACAGATCCAGAGGACTATGGGGTGGGAGTGGAGGAGACGGTGCAATACAAAGGATAGTGATAAGGAAGATGTGTGCTATCATTGGGTAATAATAATAATCATTAAATCCAATCAATAATACCCGTCGTCTTTGGCGGTGATCGTCGCCGATGTCTTTGCGGACACCAATCGGTCAGACATTGAGGTTTGCGGTCAATGAAAGGCACTATACGTTGAGACAGACATTCATTATGTGTTTTGCTATTGTTTTGTCCAATCATTAAGTAGTGAGTAATTTAATTAATTCATAATTAAAAGTAGATTTAATTTAAATCACAATTAAAAACATATAAAACATGAGTTTGTTTTGATTATATAATTTGTTTTTGTTTAAAAGTCATCAAAGGGTCCATAAATAACGTCCAGTTATTTGTATAACATTTTCAAACCCCGGAGTAAACAGTCGTTCATTGAGTTAGTGTTAAACCAATGCTAACATACAGTCTGTTAATAAAACTCCCAAAACATACAAAACAAGACGTTATTTATTATGAGTTTTAAGTGCAAAAAACCAGAGATTTTGGCCCTTTATACAGCATGTAAAACGTATCAAGCCATGACAACAAACGTTATATAAGTGATGTTATGTAATAATTGCATAATGTCAGTGGTGCTGTCGTGGTTAAGCCAAACAGTACGTCACTTAATTACACTAAGCAATGAACTGTAAACTTATTGTTTCAAAAAATTATTTCAATAAAGTTTTGTTTTGATTAAAAACCCGCGAATCTTATTTAATAACTGTGTCAACTCTTGGCTTTCAATCAATTTCTCAAATCAAAACTCGCAACAATTCTATGACATTTTGTTTCAATCTCTGGTATTGTTAATTGGTTTCGTGGCCCACAGCGCCGGTAGTGAGAGACAGACATGTCATTGAACTCACCGGATCCGACGTCTGAGCGTTGGTTTCACGGACCACTCTCTGGCAAAAAGGCAAAGCGTTTAGTGTCCAAAGAGGGAACAAACGGGACCTTTTTGGTCCGCGAGAGTCAAAGCAAACCCGGAGATTATGTGCTGACAGTGAGAACCGATGATAAGGTGACTCAAGTGTTAATCACATGTCAAAACACAAAGTTTGATATCGGGGATGGTGACACATTCGACAGCTTAAATGAATTAGTCGAACACTACAAGAAGAACCCTATGGAGGTCACGGGAACTGTTGTCCATTTGAAGAATCCGTTTAACGCCACGCGTATCACTGCCTCAACCATTGCGAATAGGGTTAAAGTGTTGACCAAAGAGAACGTCCAAAACAGCGGAAAAGCGGCAAATGTGTTGACGACGACAATTGAAAGAGTATTGTCTGAATCAGAGACAACACTAACCACGAGTACAAATAGCAACAGTCCGGTGTTTGACGGGTCGGCGCCTCGAATGATAAACTCTCATGAAAGTCAGTTCAGACCACAAAACATGTTGTGTATGCCTTACCCACAGATGGACAACAATATGATGCGATTCAGCTCTCCCTGTGATAACCTAATGCCCCCCAGAGGTAGCAGTCCTTCCGATATGCCTTCCAATCGGTTCGGTCACCACAACAACGACGGGATGCAACCGAACACCCACTTTAACGCCACTCCCATGTCGGCCATGAATAGCGGTGAACCAATGAATGTGATGCCATTCGGCCCCAACCCGTCATCCGGTGCCGGATGTATGGCTTCTGTCAACAATTTCAACCCCCAAATGGACAGTGGCTTCAGTTCATCGCCGCTGCAGAACCTTCAGAAGATGACCCCTACCTATGACATCGGGCCTCCAAACAAAGGCGACAACAGAATGATGTCCAACGGATCTCTAACGCACAGCCAGAACCCCAACGGTTCCATCACTTCGGTGTCACAAACGCAGCGAACGAACAATTTTGAATGCCGTCGGAATCGCTATTAGTGTCCGAATGGTCGGAATCGTCGCCTCGTTTAACGCCAAACGCTTCTCGTAATCGCTTTTTGTGGCGCCGGTAGTGCTCTAGCGTTAAGTGTCGGTCCCTTTGCGGACCGATCGTCGCCGGAACCGTCTCTTTGGCCACTTCTTCGCCACTATTTCTGTAATTAATAAAAACAAAACACACATAAAAACTAATTCGGCACAACTTTAGAATGTGGGCACCAGCGGAACAGGTCGCGGAGTGTATATTTGAATAGCCCTTGGTCAGTAGTACCGAGCTATGGTAGTCCGAGTTTACGACGACAAACCGTTTTCGAGATAATCGGGATCAAAGTTGTGATTTTCCCATAGAAGCCCATTATAAACAAAATTTTCTTTTTTACACCTTTTGTTATGTTATGTTACAGTTGTTCCGGAGATAAGACTTATATATAAAGTTCACGGGATAAGACATGTATAGAGTAAACTATGTGTATATTTATATTTATAAGTTGGTTAGGTTAGGTTAAGTTAGGTTAGGTTAGGTTAGGTTAGGTCAGGTAAGGTTAAGTTAGGATAGGTTAGGTTAGGTGTAAAAAAAGAAAATTTTGTTTATAATGGGGTTCTATGGGAAAATCACAACTTTTATCCCGAATATCTCGAAAACGAGTTGTCGTCGTAAACTCGGACTATCATATCTCGGTACTACTGACCAAGGGCTATTCAAATATCTACTCGGCGGCCATCTTTGTTGGTGCCCATATAAAAAAGTGCAGCCCCACTAATTCATTAGTATATGTATTGATATACTTGTGGTCAGAGATTGCCGTAGAGTTACAAACTGTGCTGGAAATGGGCGAAAATGAATGATTATTGTCAACGCCTTCCTCCCGGACCTCCTCATCAGCGGCTGCTGTCAATTGACCGCCAATTTTTCGGCCGTCGTATTCATCACATGATATATCACTTATTAATGCAATTAAAATATAGTTAAAAATCAATTTAATAGTCAATAGATTCATACCTTATAGTAGTTGTGTCGACAGGAAGTGATTGGTTAGTATCCATCGCTTCCTCCGGTGTCACCGCAGAGGCCGGTGCTGTCAATTGTGGACTCGTTGCGGTGCTATTGTTTCCGTTGACCACCACTTCAGCCGAAGACGTTATATCGCTATTTATATAACGAATTACGGATTAATTACCAATTCAATAGTTAAACTCATAAACACATGCCTAAGACTAGAGGTTTCCATCGGTTTATTGATGTCATCAGTTGTCGAGACTGTAATCGATTGGTCACTACTGTCCACTACTTCCATCGATGCCGTCAATTGTGCGCTAAACTCCTGACCACTGTTGACACCGATCTCTTCGCGAACAGACACTTCTTCAGAAGCATTTGTGTCACAATTTCTAATTAAAAATTCAAAAAATTAATTATTGTTTTAATTAACAAATAAAAACATTTATATTACATGTGATTAGTTGTGGCTATTGTCTGGCTATCGGTGTTTGTAATGACGGCACCGATAGGTGTTGTGCCATCACATGACTGCTCATCTCTATTAGCGTTTGCTGTGGTATTCACAAGAAGTGTCAGTATATCACTGACAACTGATTCAACACTATCTGTGTCTTCGGTTTGAGTGCTCAAAGTGGTGGCCAATGACTGGTCAAACAGTGTCTGTAGACGCGGATCCGTTAGCAGCGGCTTATCGTCGGCCAGTGTCTGGTCAGTGGCGGACACATCGGTGGTGTCTAACTTCATAATCACCACCGGTTGACCGGTAATCGCTGGCACACTATCACCCGGTGCTGACCAAACGGTATCAGTGGTCACATCGGGCGGCGATGTGTTGTCCGCAATGGCGTTGACATCGAGTTTTTTATCACATGTTATATCACTGTTTAAATCAATCAATGAATACAAATGAAACAATCAGTAAATGGGATCAAGTCTTACGTATGATTTTCAGAGGCGATCACTGGCTTAACATCGCAGTCATCGGCGGTGGTGTTGGCCTCAACCACACGACACACCCGTTCGGCCAATGAGTCAAATCGTGTGTAATAATCACTGTTGGGAAGCGCTTCAGTGGTCAACAAATAGTCGCTGTAATCATCGGTCGGGAGGTTGTCTTCGGGCGGGTATAACAACTCACTAAACGCAACAACAGATCCATAATCAGTGTCTTCAGTGATATAATAATCAGCGCAAAACATACCCATCGATGTCAGTATCCATATCGTAAGGAACGGGTGTTGTCGTAGAAATTGTTGGGTCCGACGCGATGGGTGACAACGGTATCGTCTCATTGGGTACAGTCTGTGGAATCGCCAGCGCAAGTATGGCTGTGTCTACTGCTGTCGATGGCGGCGGCGGTGGTGGTGGTAGCAGTGGCGGAGTCATCGGTGGTAATACCGGTAATGATTGTACCACTGGTGGCGGTGAGAGCTTTGATGGGCCGGCAGTTGTGGCGGCGCCTGTGGTCTGAGCGGTGGGCGCGGAGACGATGGCCACGATCTCGATGTCGCTGTCGTCGTCCGACTCTCTGTTTGTGGTGTAAAACATATGTGGCGTTCAAAACAATAACCGCAACAAAATGGGGCGCAAAAGTCACGTACGGGTTGTCCGCCATTGCGGTCATCGATGATGGTGTCAGCGGCGGAACCGCTGGTTTAACACATTGACTATCATCGTCTATAATCTCGACTTCGGAGTCACTATTGGTGTCCCTATCGGTGCGCCAAAGAAGAGAGACAAGTGTTTAACGCGTTTTTGGCCTAAAAAATCATTGCTTAATAACCACTCACTCATCGGTGGACAGAATCAGCAGCAGGTGATGATCATCGGTGTCCTGTTTGCGACGCTTTCTTCGTCCCGACGACCGCCGTCTACGCCGCCGG